GTAATATTAATCAACTAGGAAATTTTTTTAAAAAACACAAAGAGCTTTCTTCAGTGTACCCTTACAAATTTTTTTTTTCACGCAATAATCACAAATTCAAGACATTATCTAGATACACTGCCCTCAGTATGACCATTCATTTTCTAGAACCTAAGCCTCTCTTTTTTTTTTTTTTTTTTTTTTTTAAGAAAAACTTTCAAGTTATTTCCATTTAAGTAGCATACATTTTAACTTCCTTGCTCGTGACAATTACTCGCTTGGTTCTGCCTGAAAAAGGCTGTCCGGATTGAAATCTAAACATTCGAAAAATAATCGCACGAGTTATGAATAAATGCATGAATGAAGAAAGTGTTTGCCCTGGCTTCTAAGCGACCATTTATCATATTGCAGTGACAGTCCCGACCTCTCATTGAAAATAGCTTCTCGCGTGCACCTTTGTTCCATCGAATGCGATGAATAAAAAGCAACCTAAGACTTATTTCATCAAAACGCTGTGGCAACATGCTAGCGAAGACACGTGTCTGGTATACATGAATAATGTGGCTGCCAGAGACCACATAGGAATTCTTTTGAATATTGAGTTGAGGACTGAGAAAAGTTACAAATAAACTAAAAGAGAGTTTTGCACGAATTTTTACTGAATTAGTATTTGATTTGCGTAAAGACTGACTAGCTGGGTTTAGTTTCTCTGGAGTTTAAAGATTCGTAAAAATATGTACCTCGTGGTTTATAAGTAATTCATTTTTCTTCATTTATCATTTCAGTAAATCCTATCTTAGCACTTCCTTTTGTTAGCCGAAAGAAATCCAAAAACTTTTGGGAGAAAATCAAATTGACAATGAATGTTAAAGTTTAATTTTGATTGGAGACTAGATTGAACGGTGTACTGAGAACCTACGAAAAACTGCACGAAAGAAAAGCTTTGTATGTCTAAACTGGTGAGCATTCTGTTGTATTTCAAGTTTTCGACATAAGCTATAGAAAATTACGGTCATCAGCGTCCGACTGAAGGTAAGCATACGTACTAAGTGTAGATGTTAATGAACTTTCTTTCTTATGATATAAGAAAACTGAGAAATGGTAAATGACACTCTTCCTCTCTATACTAAATACCAACTTCCTTAACTCTAACTAACTCAGCGTATGGCAACTCAGCCTAACAGAGTATTATATCATTCCCAGTAACATCTCTGAGCCTTCTAGTGTGATTAATTGCTTTTCTTATTTTGGTAAAGCGAACTGAAATGTATATACAATAACGAAATATTTCCTAAGAATGCTCATCAGTATATAGTGGTATGTAGCGGCGGATTATGAAGTTGTGAACTCATATCAAATCTTCCAAAATAGTTGAAAATCCATTATTGGAATTGTTTTTTTAATTAAAACATAGACGTCGCAAATAAAAATCTTTTGAATAATAGTACAGAAATTACAGAAATCGTTAATAATTAAGACGCATTGCACGATTCCTACTTGAAATTCAATAATCGCAAGGAATCTTTTTATGTGAAATTTTAAAGCCACTTTTTACAGTGTATTCTTTTAATGAAATTTTAATTAAAACTCATTCAATGAGGAATAAAAAAATCTGGAATTTATCTATATTTTAATGAGAGAATTACTATTACTGAAATATTTATAATATTCATTAGGATTAAGACACAATAACACGCCGAATAAATACTAATTCAGAAGTCAAACAACAAAAATCAGCGTTATATTTTCAAAATTTTGAAAATAAAACGCTGATTTTTGTTGTTTGACTTCTGAATTAGTATTCATTAGGATTTTATTCCATTGCTATTAAGCCCCCAATTCTCTAAGGAATCGAATAAGTTAACGCGTGAAATTCGCTATGGTAATATAATGCAATATACGAGTGTATGAATTATATCGAAATGAGAATGGGAAAATTAAAAAGTACATAATTAATCCAATTTTAAAATTACATATACATTTTGAGACTTTCCGATAAGATTAAACGAAATTAAATAATATTAAATGAAGATTAAGCTACTGTTTTATTGTTTTATTGTAACAATTATTTTACTGTTTTATTGTAAACAAGTATTTTATTATTTTATTGTAGCAGTTATTTTATTGTTTTATTGTGCACGATCATTTTACTAATTTATTTTACAATATAACTCAAACTTTGAGCAAAAATGAGCAGTAATGTTAACATGAAAATTAATCAAAAACTTCAATGTACACAATATTTCGTGTAAAAACATCGTTAAACGTTAATAAACATTGATCAGTTGAGTGCGTGCATGCCATACACATTTTTCTCTTCGCTTTTCCTAATACAAGATTCTTTTCAGAAATGAATTAATTTTGTAGCGTAGGATAAAAAGAGTAATTTTTAATCTTTTTTAAATGCTGAAAATCTGAGTGGAAACATAAGAAAGAAATGATAACAGCTAAATGAAGCAGAAGCAATAGAAAGTAAATATATATATATATAAATGTGTTAGTACTGCTGATTATTGAGGCTCTGTGATATTAACACAAACAAGGGCCTTATCAACCCTAAAAAGAATTGTCAAAAAAAAAAAAAAAAAAAAAAAACCTGTATCTGCTGTCCTAGACTGAGAATAGTTTAACTCGGTAATAGTTGCATAATTTTTATCCTAAAGATCATTTGTGCAGAAAGCTACCACGAAGGGATGAATGCTTGAGCTCATTCGGCAACTTGATAGACAATGATCATATATTTCTCTCTTTTTTATACAAATTATTATATACAATTAAAAATAGAAAATATATCCCATATAAGAAAATACGGCTTGTATAATTTGTTTCTATTTTCGTACCATGTACATCGATGGAAACATTTTGGTAACTACTGACTGACAGTAAAAAGAAAATGATAGCTCCGTTTGTAGCTCCATTTTAGTTTTAACTGAAAGCACATCTGGTGCTAAGTCGTCTGCGAAATTAAGAAGAAAAATATCAGTCAAGAATTTTTTTCATTTCTTTCCTGGTATATCAATATTCAACGAGACCTAAAAATAACTTTCTTTTAAAAAATATTTCCCCCTATGACCTCTACCATAACCGTTTACTTTTCCCTCCGTAATGGACGTCATTCTCCCCTTCTTGACTGCATCTGAGCGGACACCTTATGGAAAAAAAAAAAAAAAAAAAAAAAAAGGCGAAGAGAAAAAAATAATAATAATAAAGGGGAGGAAGACAGGAAATAAAAAAAGCGATACGTGGACGTAAAAACTCGGAATTATAAATAACGGAGAAAGAGAATAAAATGTAAAAGGAAAGTATTTACATTCGTTCATTAACATTTAATGCCAATTTAAAAAGAAAAAATCAGTATCGTTTAGAAATAGTTGACAATTGAATAGTTTCAAGTTTCTAGTGCATTGAAGAAATTTTCTTAATTATCATAAATTTAGTTCTTAATTTTGTCTTTAGTTCCCTTTACACTTGTTAAGCAAAAAAATCAGTAATAAATGTAACCCATACTGTGATAGGAAATGAAATGTTAAGACCTTATTTCAAGCAAAGCTTAACATCTTATAACTGACAGTTCATTTAACATATTCAGGTATAGTTATTTTATGTTTATAACGTCTTCGGTATAAGTTATTTTTTTATTTGATCTAGCACTAAAATAATCTTCACAGTTTCAAAATATTTATTCTTAAGATTTAAAAAAATGTACTGAAATTCTTTCGTTTGTATCATATTTAATGAAGAATTTTATCGCAAATAACTTAAAAACGTGTCTGAATCTTATATTAATAACTAAAAAATGTGTCTGAAACTTATAAATCAATAAAAGTCGTTAATTAAGCCTATGTTTGGATTTTTGAATCTAAAGTGTAAAATGCAATGTTGCTCTCTTTAGTCGGTAGCATTTTCTTTATGCAATATTTCTTTTAATTATCATTGCAAATCTGAAAAGATATTTTAATGAATTTTATTATTCTGCTAAATATATCAAAAAAGAAAATATCAGCGATATTGATTGTGTAGATTTTCATAAGAAAAACTGAATCCAGTTGTTGGTAAAAGTTCAGACAAAAGTTATTTTTCTACGTATAGAATTTAGATTAATGAGTTAAACATAAGTCTTTTAAGAATTTAGATTAATGAATTAAACATAAGTCTTTTAAGTGTTTTGACTGAGATTATAGAATATCCAAGGCAGATTATTAGGCAAGTTATGGATTTTATTATGTATTTAACACAAATTACCTTCAAATATTTCTTCGGTTTCTAAATTAATAGAATTACGTGCTTCATATATAATTTAAATCTCATTGGAAGCAAAATCATACTTCATGAAAATGTAAAAGCTAAGTATATACGCTACAAGCTTAACTAAATTTATAGCATAAAATTAAGTAGCATGTTTAAACGGTTTTAGAATTTGTTAGAGAGCATAAAAAACAAGCATGGTGGTGAATTTGAACAAAAGGGTAAGATAGCAATATTAATGTGCAATTTCCCTCCCTAATTTCCATATTAAAATGCGAGTGAATTGCTTTACCCGGAATTAAACCGTAACTTTTTAAATTACATACACCATTGTTAGTCTTTAAATTAATGCCTAAAACCTTCAATGCTTCAATGCAAACATTTTGAATCGCAATTGAACAGCGGCTATTCTAATATCTTAGATATTGTACTTGAAGTACGCATCGTATTTTCATATAGTAAATAGACCAAAACATTTCACAAAATGTTAGCAAATGGTAAAAATGTTCTCATAATCAAAAACTATTTTTACGCTAAAAATACCACATAAAAATTCAGTTTTTACAAATATTAAAACTGCATATCTGAACTAAACAAATCCTCGGAAAAAAAATTAAAACAATAAACAAAAATTTTATTATTTACTGAAAATTATCATGTAAAGATATACATCTAATATTATTTTCAAATTTGTCATTCATTTAAAAGTAAAATTTTTTAAACCTTTCATTTGCATTGAACATATTTAAATAAACAAAACCAAATTGAATCGTTACCTTTGTGAGGCATGACGTCGTCTGCAGACCCCCCGCAGCCCTGGTACACCGCAGCCCCTGGAATCGTGAGAGACGAACTCTGACCCGGGACGCTCAAATCTCTGCAAATAGATAGGGATAAATATACTTATTCACAATGGTTGCACAAATAGAAATCATTTAGAAAGAAAAAAGATTATTAAAAAAATTCATTTGGTAAGGTATTTCTCCCGTCTTCTTAGCATGCCTCTCTGGTACAACGGTCAGCACACTCGGTGCGTATTCGAGAGGTCCGAGGTTTGATTCCCGGCGACGGCATTACTCATTTTTCCTTCTTTGAAATACCTAATGTCTCTACAATATATTCTTAACTTTCATATTCCTCTACTAGCAAATTAAATTTCATTTTTAGCAAAATATAATACAGCAAAATCTCAACAATTCGATTTGATGTGGATTAGTGATACCACGGATAATTAAATGTTTGAAATTTAAAAAAGGCATTGGGAAAAAATTAAGACCTAACAAAACAGTTTATACAAGTGCCATGTATTACTTTTAAGCCCCTTTTTATATTTTCGTGACTAAAATAAAGAATAAAATTAAGGTTTAAAATATAGGGGGAAAATGCAATCTAGAATTTTCAGAGATTGAAGTCTATGAGCCTAAAAAAGAGTTTATATTAAAAAGAACCTTTTTTTTTTTATTTAAAACATAAAAAGTTTAAAATGTAAAATGTGTCTGCAGTCTGATTTTTATATTCAAATTCAAGCTTAATACATTAAAACTTTATACTCAAAATTTCAATTTCGTGTTTAATATAACAAACGGGGACTCCGCTTAACAACCTCTAAAAACATATTTCGCGTATTTTTGCATCTTCTCTTTGTTCGCTTTTCAAAAATATAGAAAAGGTGCTATGGGAACAATTCTAGATAATCTTCTGCCTATATTGTGGGTTATATACTGCACTGATATTTCAGTGATTTAATAATTATATCGTAATCTAAATATTACAGAATTTAAAATTCCCGTTACTGGGCAAAAAGGAGCAAATTTTGGAAAATTTGCAAACATCATATAATTTTATCGAATTATTTTAAAAAGTGTCTTTACAAATTCGGCCCACCAGCGGCCGAGCGGTAAAGTCGCTGAACCCTGGTAGTTCGGTCTGAGGTTCGAATCCCGCGAACGGCTGCATGGGCGTTTTCGTGTTTTTCCCCATGTGTAACGTGTATACGAGCCAGTTTTCCTTAGAAAGCCCTCCACGAAGGCATCCCTCCCCTTAGGCAGATAGCCCTCGAGGCTTTGCCATAATCACACACACACTTTACAAATTCACTATATTAAGCCTATGTTAAAAAGTGGACTATTCGCGAATTCACATTTATAAAAAAACTCTACACTTTTATTTATAGCTTATAAGCTTTTATTTACTTCATTTATGGTGTTTCCCTGTGGATGGAATTTTGCCCTTTATATTGATTAGCTATCGGCTTCTAATTTCGTATACACACTGTTTCTCGATGACAATGCAGTGTGATATTAACTAAGATTTTTTTTTTAATGTTTAAACGATTTTTCGTATATATCTTCGTATAACGAACAAACTAAACGTATCAAAAATTTTACTGTTTGCACCATTAAATACAGAGGAAAAACCTTTTCAGTGCAACTTGTATAAAAATTGTAACTCGATTTCTGCAGTTATGAAAACCACTCTTTGAAGTTTATGATTTTAAAATTTCAAGATCTAAATATGTAATATAAAGTTTTAAAATTTTTAGGTTACGTTAGGTTATTTAATTACGGCAAAGCCTCGAGGGCTATCTGCCTAAGGGAAGGGATGCCTTCGTGGGGGACTTTCTAAGGAAAACTGGCTCGTATGCACGTTACACATGGGGAAAAACACGAAAACACCCATGCAGCCAGCCCGTTCGCAGGATTCGAACCTCGAACCGAACTACCAGTGTTCAGCGACTTTACGGCTGGTGGACTTGAAATTTTTAGAGTTTGTGAAACAGAGTTTTCGGTCTCTATTAAACCAGAAGGATAATAAATATAAATTGAGTTATTTTCTAAATATTTTAAAAACCTGTTGCTATCTGAATCAGACGGAATTAAAAAAACGTTTTGAGTTTGCCACTTATCTTACTTAATGGCAATCTGGCATATTCGCTTCTTCATTTTAACTTTACGTAAAATAGTTGTAACATTGTTCTTACGTCCACTTTCGGAAACTCAATATTCAAAGATATTTCTTAATTCTTTGAATGAAGTCCGGTTATTTTTCTTACTTCATAGTTTTCTTATTTATTACTTGTAATACATTGATAGCATGTAATTGGAACTAAAAACCAAAAAATAAATTCAATTAAAAAAAACTTTTATACAGCAAGCTTTTATTCAAAATGTAGATGATTATAATGCACTAAAAGGAGATAAATAATTTTTCATATAATTTAATGGGAATAATATATTAATTCTATTCATCTACAACTGTATATCGCGAATATTAAAACTCGGAGGGGTCTAAATAACGAAATCTATTAATTTAATTGCATTGTCAAACGTATAAGCTATTATCTTTTTTAATTTTCTATTAATTTAATATCAGTCTGAAATACATAAACCATTATCCTTTTTTAATTCTTCATGGGCACCCTATGTTCTTATTATTCACTGTATAAAACTGTAGATGAATTCTGTAAATAGAATTATTTTATCTATTATTCCATTTACCCTGTATAATAAATTATTTTTCTTACTTTAGTGAACCTACTTATTTTAACTAAAAACGCATTAAAAAATTTTCCCTTCTCATTTGTAAAGGACTCTAAATTACTTATTGAAGGAGAAGATTGACAGAATGAGAAAGATTAATTTACTGAAAAAGCTTGTCGGAGGTAATACTCTCTTATTTCATAGCTAAACTGTTTTTTAATTACGTTTAAATTTCATGAATGTCTTTTGTTTTACTTTCCTGGGAAGTAAATATTTACACTTTTATACTTTCCTCTTTGAAACATTGTTTTTCCAGTAAGAAAAAATTCTTAAGCAATACACTACTGCTGGGAAGTATCTCGAGCAATCTCATTAATTAAACAAAAATAATTCCATCTATTCATAATTACAAATTCAAACAACAGAGTAATACAAAATCAAATTAAATGTTACACGTTGGATTATTGCTTGTTGTATTTATACTAACAGTACTGTATTTATAGTGGTAGTATTGTATTTATACTGCAACATTGTATTATTGCTTAAATAAAGAAAATATGAATTAATTGTATGTTGATCTAACAAGGTATCCAATATCCTGTTGAAACTATGAGAAAGAAATATGGACATTTAGAAAAGGAGGAAAAAATCACTTTATGCTGATAACCACCTTGTTCGCAATTTCACCGTGAAAACGGTATAAATCCAGAAAACTCTTAACTGAAAAACTAAGTTCTTGAAGGTGAATATTATTTTGACTCATGTGGTTAGGTTAAAAACACTCAAACTGCTTTTACTTGAGAAAGGACGTCATAACCTACCGGCAGTTCTGTTTGCAGAAAATATGAATTATTTTTTGAAGAAAAATAAGATCATGTAATAATTTTTTAAACTGATATCAATGCAAATTTTAATTTTATTTTAAATTGATTAGATTATTTTAATTTAAAATGATTCACTAATTTTATAGTATGGCCTGCAATCGCTTCAGCATCAAAATACAGCTGGATGTATTCGAAACTTGCTCCATTCCTAGGCTTAAATGAACCACTTGGGAAAGTTCTTGTCGACTTCTTAAATTACTGCCTAAAGATTTATCTATCCTACAGCCCCTCGGGCTACATCGGGCGGAGGTTATCTTTATATGAATGGGAATTTTCAGAAGGTTATACTGCTGCCTTGAAAAAGGTTATGGGAAGAATGAATTCGCAATGAGAATGCTATAGCTGCAGTTTTTGGAAATTACGCATATAGCGCGGATTTACACTTATTTATTTATTTTCTCTTACATTGAACATTTCTGAGGTCTAATCTTACACATGTGAAGCATTGAAAAAAAGGGCACATGTTCAGTTATCCTGCGATTTGGAAACCTGAAGATTTGTCTGCCTTTTAAAAATGTTTCATAACAAAATTTCTTCAGGAAATACTAAAACGTTTCAAGGAAATCGCAATAAAAAAACCAAATACCGAAATCGGATGAATAACTTCGAAATTTTTCGTGATCCACAGATTTTTCTGAACATCTAACTCAAATTTAATGATACTGATATCTGGTTATATTGTGTTGCAAAATTTTAATGGCTTTTCTAGGATAATGAAGTACTTTTGATAATTTGATATGATCTGCTTACTTTCTTGTCCCACTCATATGTATCAAAATTTGACACTTAAAAGTTAAGAGCCAATATTTTCAGTCAAATAAAATTAACTAATAACACAAAAATTTCTTATTTGATGTTTGCCTTGGAAATTAAAGTAACATTTTTGTTTCTTTTCTACTAATATATTTAAATGAGTGGTGGCAAAAGGTTACAGAATTTGGATTTAGATTTCATTGCCATTTTATTTCCCTAAAACGCATTTAAAATTAATGGCATAAAGTATTATTAAGCAAGGTTTACATGGGACATTTAAATAAGCAGTGTTTTATATACACACACAAACCAACACGCGGATGAGTGCGTGTGTGCATTAAGATTCAATGCAATATTTTGCTGTTTTTAAAGATTTTAGAAATATGAGGTTAAAACAAATGTACGCATCAGTATCTAATAAACGAAAATTTAATTCTGTTAATAAATGTAGTACAAAACTGTGTATCTCGTAGTCCCTCCTCAAGTATTTCTCTTTTCACAGTTACTTTGAGCGTATAATTATTCAGTATTAATGTACTATTAGTTATCGCATAAATATCTTCCCCACGGTACGTAATGCCATTGGAGTATTTAAAATTATACCCCCGATTCTAAATTCTATAATTTATGTAATTTATGTAAAAATTAGCTTACACATAACCATTTAGTAAACTTTCTTTTTATGGCAATCATGTAAAATGTTAGTCGTTGCTTAAGATTATATTATATAATCGTTACATCCGATTGTTTTTGGATCTGAA